AAATATCTAGAAAATATGGATTGACTTCCTTATTTAAATACAGTTATTGAGGCAAGAAGTTAACTATAGAATAATTACGCGTGTGTGCACACACACACACACACACACACACATACACACAGAGAAAATATAGATCAGTCATCCTCCAACATTTTGCTTACATATCATAATAATTTTGACCTACTATTGCTTTGCATATTTTAAGGCTGACATTTAAGTTTCATCATAAGTTCCAAGTTGTTGCAAAAGATGAAATGTCTGGTATTCAATTTAAGAATATTAAAACTTAAAAATAAGGCCAGGTGTGATGGCTCATGTCTGTAATCCCTGCACTTGGGGAGGCTGAGGTGGGTGGATCACCTGAGGGTAGGAGTTTGAGACCAACATGACAAAGCCCCATCCCTACCAAAATTACAAAAATTAGCTGGGCATGGTGGTGTGCACCTATAGTCCAAGCTACTTGGGAGGCTGAGGTGGGAGGATCACATGAACCTGGGAGGCAAAGAATGCAGTGAACTGAGATTGTGCCACTGCACTCCAGCCTGGTGACAGAGTGAGAACTTGTCTCAAAAAAAATAAAAACAAAAAAAGATAAAATTTAAAAAGCTAACACTACTCATTTAATCATCTTTAAGAATACAAGTTACTTTGTAAATGAGCATAACTTTTAGATTGTTCCTTTTTCTCCTTAAAATTATATTTCAATTCTACTTTCCCATAGAATTATATCTTAGTAAAATAATACATTTTATATCTTTTACTTATCACTCTATTACAGTTTTCCTCAACACAAACGTAAATTAATTTTAAAGTTCCTGTAACTCTAAGGTATAGTGTTAGAAATAAAGATAGGTTATTTTTATTATACAATTGATCCAAACAACCTATATATTGTGTATACTTTGAAAATAACTACAGATAACAAAGTAAGATTTTATTGGAAGTTCATCTATTCATGAGATGTGTGTTTTTCCAACTCACATATTTATGAATGAATGTTACTTGATGGTAGAGCTCTGAAATGTGGTTAAAAAAAAACTGTATTACTAGCTTTATGTGTGTGTGTGTGTGTGTGTGTGTCTCTGTGTGTGTGTCTTTGTGTGTGACAGGGTTTCTGCCATCTGGGCTGGAATGCAGTGGCACAATTCTAGCTCACTGCAGCCTTGAACTCCTAGGCTCCAGCAATCCCCTTGCCTCAGTCTCTCCAGTAGCTAGGACAACAGGCATGCACCACCACACCCAGTTAATTTTTATTTTTTGTAGAGACAGGCTCTTGCTGTATTGTCCAGGTTAGTCTCAACTCCTGGCCTCAAGTGATCCGCCCACCTTGGCCTCCTAAAGTGCTAGGATTATAAGCATGAACCACCATGCCTGCCCTACTTTTTCTTCTTTTAATCCTGGGTATTTACCCAAAAGAATTAAAGTCAGGATCTTGAAAAGCTATTAGCATTCCTGTGTTCACTACATCATTTTTCAACATGTGAAAAAAAAAACCTAAATGTCCATCAACAGATAAATGCATAAAGAAAATGTGGTATGTACATACAATGGGATAGGATTTAGCACTTAAAAAGGCAGAAATCCTGCAATACGCAATAACTAGGATGAACTTTGAGGACAGGTTGCTAACTGAAACAAGCCAGTTACAGGATGACAAATACTACATGATTCTACTTATATGAAGTATCTAAAACGGTTTAATTCCTAGGGTCAAAGCGTGGGTTAGTCGTTGCCAAGGTCCAGGAGGAGAAGGAAGTGGGCAGTTATTAAAAACTGACATAAAGTTTTCACTGAATAAGATGAATACGTTCTAAAGATCGCTGTATAGCAATTATTGTCGACAATAATATTGCACACTTAAAAATTTGCTAAGAGGATAGGTCTCGTATGTTCTTACTATAATCAAAACTTTTTTTAAGTTTTTAAAGTACATCAATTCTCATCTAACTATTAAAGAGCTAGTTTTATTCGTGTTTACATTAGTTAGAAAAGTAAAATTAGAGAGTCCAAGGTAGGTGAATTGCTTGAGTCCAGGAGTTTGAGACCAGCCTGATCAACATAATGACACCTCATCTCTATAAAAAAATAAGGAAAAGTAAGCAGGCTTGGTGATGATGTTGGCCTCTAGTCCCAGCTATTCAGGAGGCTGGGGCAGCAGAATCTCTTGAGTTTAAGAGGTGGAAGTTGCGGTGAGCTGAAATGGTACCACTGCCCTTCAGCCTGGGCAACAGAACAAGACTCTGTCTCAAAAAAAAAAAAAAAGAGTAAAATTAGCAGCTGGATACTGTGGCTTTCATCTGTAGTTCCAGCTACTTGGGAAGCTAAGGTGGGCAGATCAGGCTGACGTGTGCTCACACCTTGAATAGCCACTGAGCTCCAGCTTGGACAACACAGAGAGACCCCCAGTGTGTCATCTGGTGATGCTAAGAAGTTTTTATACCCAGCACGATGCACTTTGATAGGATTTGGAATGTGGGAGAAGGAAGGCTTTTCTTGGTGAAAAGGGAAGCCTTGACCTCAGGCATGTCCTTAGGGGACTCATGGACATTGAGGACCTGGTAACTGATGTTAAATAATCAGGGCAAATTTCTCTCTTCCTTGAGGGGAAGGTGTACCCCACGTTGGAAACTGAGGGCATAGACAGTATATGGTAGAATTAGGGTTCCAGAGTTGCAAAGATGGCAGTTTGAATCTTAAATTCTGACATATGCTGCCAGTGTGATGTTGTTCAATTAATATTATCTTGCTAAATCTAGTTCCTTCTTTTATAATATAGAGATAATAAACACATCTGTCACTGAGTGTCGTGGTGAGGATTAAACTAAAATAAGTACATAAAGGTGACAATCAAAGGGTCTGGAACATACTAAGCAAGTGGTGGTTAATTTTATGTATTGGCTTGGCTGGGTGCTCAGACAGCTGGTAGAACATTATTTCTGGTTGTGTCTGTGGGGGTGTTTCTGGAAGAGATTAGCATTTGAAGCAGTGGACCGAATAAAGAAGTTCTGCCCTCACCAATGTGGACAGCACCACCCACTCCTTTGAAGACCTGGATAAAACAAAAAGGAGGAGTTAGGGTGAATTCCTTCTTTCTTCTCGAGCAGGGACATCCATCCTCTCCTGCCCTTGGACACTGGAGTTTCTGGTCCTCAGATCTTTGGACTCTAGGGTCTACACCAGCCATCTTCCTGTTGTTCTCAGGTTTTTGGACTAAGATTGAATCAGACCATCAGCTTTCCTGGGTCCCCAGCTTGTGGACCACATATCGTGGGAATTCTCTGGCTCCATAATGCTGTGATCCAATTCCTGTAGCCAATTTCCAGTTCCCTTACATACCCATATTGGTTCTATACCACATATCCTATTGGTTCTATTTTTCTGGAAAGCTGAAGCACCCCACAAAAGTTTTCTTGTTCTCTCCCTCTCTCCTTCTTCCTCTTTTTCTCTCTGTCCTACATGTCAGGGCTTCTTTGAAGCATTTTGTATGGATTATTTTTTATAGTCTCCCAGCAACTCTATGAAGAATGGATTTTATTATTCCCATTTTAAGAATGAAGGAATTGAAGGCCCGAGAAGGCTAAGGCACAAAGTTAATAGGTGGAGAAGATGCACTCAAAGCCAGGCAGCCTGACGCCAGGGCCTGCCCGCTTCGTCATGGTTGGTGGCACAAGAAAGTCCAATTCTGTTCCAGTGCTTGGAGCACACCCTTGTTGGCCAGTTCTCTAACGAAAGAAAAACCTTCAGAAATAGGAATGTTCCATGAACTTTCTTCTAAAGTTCGTTCAACCAGTCTTTGTTCCCCTGAAGGTTTACCACCCAGCACCTCCTGAAAAAAAGGCTCAGTTGTCTAAATTCTATAAAGCTAGCTCTACAAAGCTAGCTGGGGATATTGTCATCATGTAAGATTGTTTGCCGTATCTTCAGGACTGTCAGACAATGTTTCTCTTGCTTTGCATGCTGGCAAAGTACAGACTTGCCATGACTCTCCGTCCTAGATAGCCTTGCCCTGTCCAGGCTTTAAATGTTCAAAGAAAAGGTCTAACACAGCCTCCTTGCCTCCTGCTGAGGTCTCTAAGTTTCAATTTCCTTACTGGGCATTACTGAAATGTTTGGTTAAATCAATCCTGTGTTAGGCCCCTGAGGCTCTGGGCGGGGCTCAGCAACTTGTTACAATGTTTATTTTAATTCCATTCTGGCAATTGCAGTATAGATGTCCTGGGGATGCCATTGTCTGCCAAGCAGGTAACTTGGAGCTCTTTGCAGAGATCCTGTGGGCATTAGGGAGGGGTGAAGAGGGAATGGAGTTACTTTTGAAAGTATGGAGGAGCCAGTGGAAAAACCAGGTCTTTGACTATGTCTGATTGGCCAAGGACATGGCCACAGTGTGGTAACTGGCTGTCCAGGTCTGGATTCTGGGTTACAGTCCGGTACAACTGGCAACATTATGGCATGACTCTGTGGCAGCTTATTTTGAGCGTCACGGCTATTACCCAGAGTCAGGAGTAATGTCTTTCATTCTGAGACATCTAAACCCCCGACCACAGGCATGTTTCCTTCCAGGGCAGAGGGCAAATGCAATTACATCTGTGACCAATTTGCACAGCTGGGAGCTCAGCCTCCTGACAGAAACATTTATTTGAGATTCAAGTCTCTAGGGAGCCGGGTCACCAGACAGGAAGTAAGGTCCAGTAAGCATGTGTTGTCTACTATGTGAATGCTTGTTAGGCTGGGCCAGAAGAACAAAACAAAATAACATCAAATGTCAACTTAAGCTTTTAGAAGCAAAAAATGAGCCTTGTCTGTCTACAAACCAGGTTTTTCAGGGCATAGAGGAAAATCCGAATATCCAAATAAGACAGTTGCCATTGACCCCAGTAAAAACATAGCATGCACATGGCACGTGGAACTCATGGAAGGGGCAGCTGCCTGGGAGGCAAAGCCCTGGTTTCCAGCTCTGTTTCTACCACTGTGAAGGTGGCATCCTGATCAAGTTACTTCGCTCAGGCTTTTTATTTTTTTTAGAATTGTTGTGTCATCCTTGCCCAGGGGCCATGCTAATCTTCTCTGTATCATTCTGATGTTAGTATATGTGCTGTTGAAACAAGCACTTTCTTTTTCCCCCGAGACAGGGTCTCACTCTGTCACCCAGGCTGGAGTGCAGTGGTGCGATCACAGCTCACTCCAGCCTTGACTTCCCAGGCTCAAGTGATCCTTCTACCAGCTCCTCAGTAGCTAGAACTACAGGCCTTTTCCAGAGCTGGAAGATAAACACCACGAAAGCGTTGAAGGCAAATCCAGAGCCCAGCCTAGTGACTCTGTTAGTATTTACTCATAGGACAATGTCTCTGGATTTTATTTATTTATTTTTGTCTCCCAACAGCTTTATGGAGACATATTCACATACCATACAATTCACCAATTTAGAATGTACAAGTCAATGGCTTTTAGTTTATTCACGGAGTTGTGCGGCCGTCATCACAACCAATTTTAAGACATTGTTATAACCCAAAAAAGAAACCTTTGACGCTCCTCACTTCTTAGCCATCACCCCTCAAGGCCTCCCCTGATTCCTTTCAGCCTTAGGCAACCAATGATCTACTCTCTGTTTCTACAGATTTGCCTATTTTAGACATTTCTTATAAATGGAATAATACAATATGTTGTCTTTAGCAACTGGTTTCCTTCACTTAGCATACTCTTTTCAAAGTTCATCCATACTATAATATGTATCAGTGCTTCATTTCTTTTTGCTTCCAAAAAGTATACCATTATATGGAAATGCCATACTGTGTTTATTCATTTGTCCATTGATGGACATTTGGGCTGTTTCTACCTTTTAGCTATTATGAACAATATTCTGTGAACAATGGTGGACAAGTTTATGTGTGAACATATATTTCCATTTCTGTTCGGTATATACCTGAGTGGGTTTGCTGGCTCATACAATAACTTTGTGTTTAACCTTTTGTGTAACTGCCAGACTGCTTTCCAAGGCAGCTGCATCACTTTACTTTAAAAAATTATTTTTATTTTAGATTCAGGGAGTACATGTGCAGATTTGTTACTTGTATACATTGCATGATGCTAATTTGGGTTTCTACTGAATCCATCACCCAAATACTAAACATAGTACCCAACAGGTAGCTTTTCAACCCTTGCCTCCCATCCCTATTCACCACTTTGGAGTCCCCAGTGCCTACTGTTCCCATCTTTATGTCCCTGTAGCCCTAATGTTTCTTACTTATAAGCTCCCACTTATAAGTGAGAACATGCAGTATTTGGTTTCCTGTTTCTGTGTTTAATTTACTTAGGATAATAGCCTCCAACTACATCCATGTTGCTGCAAAGGACATGATTTTATTCTTTTTTATGGCTATATAGTATTCCATGGAGCTGCACCATTATGTATGCCAACAAGCAGTGTATGAGAGTTCTAATTTTTCCACTTCCTTGCCAATACTTGTTATTTTCTGGTTTGTAAAAATTTTACCCATTCTAATGGGTATGAGATGGTATTTAATTGTGGTTTTGATTTGTATTCCCTGATGACTAATGATGTGGAGCATGTTTCATGCAGTTATTGGATTTGCATTTACCCTCCTTAGAGAAACATCTATTCAGATTTTTGCCCATTTTTCTTAGTTATTTGGTTTGTTGGTATTGAGCAGTAATAGTTCATTATATATTCAAGACACAAGTCCTTTATCAGTGATGCTATTTGCACATTTTTTCTCTCATTCATTGTAGGCTTGTCTCTTCATTTTCTTGATGGCGTCTCTGGAAGGACAAAGATTTTTAGCTGACTTGTGCACAGCTCATCTGTTTTTGCTCTAGTTGCTCATGCTTTTGGTGTCATATCCAAGAAACCACTGTCAAATCCCAGGTCATGAAAATTTACACCCGTGTTTTCTTCTAAGAGTTCTATAGGTTTAGCTCTTAGAATTAAAAGGTTTCGTCGTTTCTCTCTTCTGAATTTGTATACGGTGTGAGAGAGGGGTCCAACTTCTTTTTTTTTACATGTGTATATCCAGTTGTCCCAGAATCATTCATTGAAAAGACTATTTTTTCTCCACTAAATGGTCTTGGCACTCTTGGTGAAAGTCAATTAACCATAAATGTGAAAGTTTATTTCTTGACTTTCAATTCTACTCCATTGATCTACGTGTTTACCCTATGCCAGTGCCACACTGGCTTTGTACACATGTTGAAGTTCGGGGAAGTATGACTCCTCCAATTTTGTTCTCTGTTCAAGATTTTTTCCTGGGTTTCTTGAATTTTCATATAATTTTACAATTAACTTGCCAATTTCTGCAAAGAAATCAGCTGGAATTTTGATAAGAATTGCAACGAATCTATTGATTAGCTTGAGGGGGCATTGTCATTTTAACAACATTGTCTTTTTTTTTTTTTGAGATGGAGTCTTGCTTTGTCACCCAGGCTGGAGTGCAGTGGCATGATCTTGGCTCACCGCAACCTCTGCCTCCTGGGTTCAAGCCATTCTCCTGCCTCAGCCTCTTGAGTAGCTGGGATTACAGGTGTCTGCCACCAAACCCAGCTAATTTTTTGTATTTTTAGTAGAGACGAGGTTTCATCATGTTGGCCAGGCTGGTCTTGAACTTCTGACCCCAGGTGATCCACCCTCCTTGGCCTCCCAAAGTGCTGGGATTACAGGTGTGAGCCACCTCGCCCAGCCCAACAACATTAAGTCTTTTGATTCATGAACATGGGATGTTGGTCCTTTTTTTAGGTCTTAATTTCTTTCAACGATGTTTCATAGTTTTCAGAACATAGGTTTTATACTTTTTTTGTTAAATTTATTTCTAAGTATTTTATTCTTTTTAATGCTATTATAAATGAAATTCTTTTCTTAATTTTATTTTTGGTTTGCTCATTACTACTGCAGAGAAATACACTGTTTTTTGTCACCCAGGCTGGAGTGCAGTGGCACAATCTCAGCTCACTGCAACCTCTGCCTCCCAGGTTCAAGCAATTCTTCTGCCTCAGCCTCCCGAGTAGCTGGGATTACAGGTGCACGACTCCACGCCCAGCTAATTTTTGTATTTTTAGTAGAGACAGGGTTTCACTATGTTGGTCAGGCTGGTCTCGAACTCCCGGGCTCAAGTGATCCACCCAAGCTGGGATTACAGTAGTGAATCACCTCACCCTACCCCCTTAAGCTTTTTTAATATCCAAGATTATGTCATCTGAAAGTAAAGATAGTTTAACTTCTTCCTTTCCAATTGGATTCCTTTTTATTTCATTTTTGCCTAATTGCCCTGGGGAAGGCCCAGATTTTTCTCTCAGCTGCCTAAGGAACTGAATTTCTGTTATTAGCCCTCGCTGAAGGTTGAATTAGGTACTCCAGCTCCTTTAACCAGGCATTTAATGCTTAATATTCAGCCCCCAATGATCATCGAGAGAAACATGCTACCCAGTGTGTATTTCCACAGAGCAATACAGCTCTCAGGCACCGGGGATGAATCAGGAGTGTGCTTGGGTAGGTCACAGCTCTGTTTCCAGATGGAGTGTTAGGATGCCAGGAAAGGATGAGAAGGAGCAGAGCTTTGGACGTAGAATCTTTTCTGCCAGGGCGAATGCCTTTCAGGGGCTCTGAACAAGGAAGTTGGGGAATCACGAAGCTGTGACCTGGGCAAACCACCCAGCTCCCGCCACCCTCCACCCTGCCCGCTGCAGAGTGAGACAGAAATGGAGAGAAAGTCGCCAGTTTTTCAGTCTACCAATGAAGTAAGCTGTTTTCTTTTCAGACTTGGAGTGAGCAAAGTCTGTAAGTACCCTAATTAACGAGGAAAGCTCCGAGTCGGGCATGTTTTCCTGGTGCTTTCAAACACTCTGCCTCTAGCCCTTCTTTGACCAGCCTGGATAGGGAAGACATCCAACCTGACTTCTGAGTTTGTACATATTTGCGATGGCTATTTGCTGTCAGGTGGAAACAGATTCTGCTCCCGCTGTGGGAGCAACATCAAGGCACCCATGACTTCAGAAACAAGAGGAAATAAACATCTTGGTTCGTGGGCAAACTGTGCAGAGCAGGCTTTGTGTGGGAGCCCCCCAAAGGTGGGAGAGCTATTCAAAGGTTGCCAGAGCCCAAGAATAAACTGGCCCTGACGAGACTTGTGGACACGATCCAGTTCCTAGCAAAATCCGTGCCCAACCTCCCTGAAGTGCACCATTGAGAAAACGGCTTGAAAATAGGTTGAATGACATGAGGAGCAACATCGGCAGAATGGCTTTAATGAGCCAAAAAATGCGGTTTCAAATGCCCCTGTCTCTGAGCGCCACTGCCTGCCTTTGCCAGCAGATATAAAATCTGTTCACTGGAGCAAACGTAGAGACATGAAGTGGAGCTCATGCAAATTCCAGGCCAGCATGTCGTATTCACATCCAAGTCCAGAAAACTCACTCCACGTGAGGAAAGATAAGTCTGAGCTGAAGGGGAGTTGTTTGTGGCCTTGAATGCATTGCAGGCAGAAGGAAGTCTCCTCTTGCATCTCCAGCAGGGAGAGTCTATGGCTGGGCCTGCTGCTGGCTCTCAGGAAGGCGGGGGTGTTGTTTATTGTACTGTCTGGTCCTAATTATTCAGGGGGCCGATTATCCAGTTCATGGATTCACTGGCCTAGTGCCTCTCCTTCTTTTTAAGGATTTCCAGACTTTTGGTGAGGTTACTGCTCAGCTGATGCCAAATGGTAGAAAGAAAGAATGAAAAGAGGATAAAAATAACCTTTGCCCCATGTTAGCAATTCCTGTAAACTAGCTGATCAGGGAAAGGGAGCAAACGGCTTGGTTAAAACAGAATCTAGGAATTGATGGAGGTAGGGGTGCTTCCTTCTTGGTACTCTATACACGAGGTCCTGGGCCCCTATTGCCACAGGGACCCCCGTGGCAGATCTGCTGGTGATGGCTCCCTAAGGCAGTGCTCACGAAGTGCAGACAGTGTGGCGGAGCAGCCAGCTGGGCTCACAATGAGGCTGCTGGCTGCAGAGAGTCAAGCACAGAAGTGAACCCCAAAGAAACCTCTGGGCTCTGAGTAGGCTTGGCCTGTAGCTGCCTGTGTGTCATGCAGAAGGATGCAAGCTCCATCCAGCTCTAG